CCCCCAGTACTCTTTCCTGCCATGGCAGGGGGTCGGACTAGATGGTCTACCCAGGTCCCTTCCGACCCTAGAAACTATGAAACTATGAAATCCTTCCACATGACTAGAGGTCAAATGAATGCACCAGTTCTCTTTTCATCAACTGTCTTTTTAGGACTCTGGAGAATAAAAAGAAAACCTTGTAGTACTCAGAGCCGGTGCTTCCCTTCCATGTCCTCCTGTCTTGCCTCACAATACCAAAAATCTGCAAATAAATAAAAACCTGAATGGTTTCTGTGCTTATCCTCCACTACATTTTCTTACCAGGATTATTCTGCTTTATGAATGTATTTATTCATATTGAATGCAGTAACCAAATGACAGAACGAGCTATAAACAACTTGTAAACAATAGCACCGGGGGATACGGCTAGAGTAACAATTTTAGATTTAATATCCATTGCAAGGCATCATCAATAGCCTGGTGCAAGGTCCTCAATGCAACCACTAAAATGATAAATAGGATATTCCTGCATGATGTGTGCTATAATTTGGATTTTGCCACTCTCACACTTGGGGTTTTTAATAAAATTCCATTTACATGGTAGGTAGTTACTAGGTCTGTGCGAAACACCGTCATTTCATTTTGACGTCCATTTCACCATTTCAAAGGGACAGTGTTTCATTTAATCATTTTGTTTAGTTTCAAAGCACTGTTCCATTTCATTTCATCAAAAGTGTTTCATTGTTTCAACGCATTTCAATGTTTTGCCCATAGGCTATAATGGGAAATCATGAAAATGCCTAAAACTTTGTCATTTCCTGCCTGATTTGGATGAAAATGCGGGGATGGTAGCCCCTTTTGAGGGCATGAAGACTGCCATGTTTCAAGGAGATAGGTGCAGAGTTCTCTCAGAAACTGCACCTCAAACTGCAAAAAGCAAAACTCATGACACTTGCCGGTAGCCTCCTATCATCCAGCATGTGGATCCAGGGGCCTGAACCCCAGGGAGGACTGTGGGGATGTGCCAGACTCCTCCTGGGGGTACAGGCCCCCAGATCTGTGCCGCATGATAGGAGGATGCTGCTGCTGCTGCCTGGGACCAGTGCTGGGCACAGCCTGCACCCAGCGCTGGGGAAGACTGGTGCTGCCACTGGCCCCAGGCAGCAGCGGCAACCTCCCATCATCAGCTCAGGGGTAGGAGGCAGGGGAAAGCCAGAGCTCCGATTGGCTCCGCAGCCCCATGGAGCTCAGCCCAGCAATGGTAGGTGGAGCATAGCCCTGGCTCTGCCCGCCTCCCGCCAGGGCTGGAGGAGCCGATCAGAGTGCAACTCTGGCTCTCCCTGCCTCCTGCTGTCAGGTTATGCTCCAAGCAGCTCCGCAGTCCCATGGAGCTCAGCCCAGTGGCAGGAGGCGGAGCACAACCCTGGCTCTGCCCACCTCCCACTGCTAGGCTGAGCTCTGTAGGGCTGGTGGAGCTGATCGGAGTGCAGCCCTGGCTCTCCCCTGCCTCCTGCCACCAGGCTGCTTTGAAACTCAAAACATTTTTAAACTTTCAAAATGTTTCAAGTGCCCTCATTTCATTTCAAAGCTTTTTGTTTCGTTTCAATTTTGCTGTTTTGAGCTCAAAACAGCTTCAAAATGAAACACTCAGAGAAATTTGGCACAGCCCTAGTACTTACATCTACCTTGTCTAGTATGAACCCGGTTCAACATTGTCTAGCTCATCCTTGGTAAAGCAAAGCCAGGAGGTTTAGATGTGGGGTCCATGGTGAGAAAAGTATTAATAATTATTTATTTATTCTGCTGATTATTATTTACTCTGCTGTACAGGTCTAATGGCAGGGATGTTGGTAGAAACAGAAAAGTGTATGTTAAAATTATTCCTCCTATTGGTTTTGAATTTAGTAGCATGGAAAGGACTCAGCCCAAGATTAGGCCCTCACTGCACTAGCTATTATATCTAAGTAACAGAAAGACAGATCCCAGGGAACTCACTCACTAGCAGATAATTGCAGAAGACAATTTTTAATCTTGTGCTGTCAAATATTCAACTCCAGAAGCCTTGTTTTAGAAGTGACACCAAATTCATTTGAGGAATGGAAACACCAGACATCTGGCTCTTCCAATGGAAAAATAACCAGCATAGCCCAATTTGCAAATAATTCATAATTCATGTACAGAGAGCTATTAGAACCCTTTCATCCTACCAAAACATATAAGAAAAAGCATAATTTACTCACAAAGGAAGAAAAAGTGGTTTAATTAATTCAATGAATGATTTAATTCAGCCATACATGGTAGTGTTTTCTCTTTAAGTTCAGGGCTACTTGTTCTATTTCTTATTCAAGCTCTGTAACAATTTGCATATTTGTTCTCCCCAAAAACAGCTGAAAAGATGGGCAACTTTTAATTGGAAAACAATCATTAACATTCTCATAGATTTCATAGACATTAGGGCTGGAAGGGACCTCGCAAGATCATCAGGTCCAGCCCCCTGCCCAAGAGACAGGAAGTCACCTGGGGTCAGATCACCCCAGCAAGATAAGCATCCAAGCATTTCTTAAAGTTATCCAAAGTAGGTGCCACAAACTGCTGGAAGACCATTTTAGACTGGACATAAGGAAAACCTTCTTTGACAAATTTGAGATGATACTTGACCTTCAATCCACAGGAAGAGAGTCCTTTCCATGCTCTTTTGTAGATTATACAGAAAATATATCTATGGAACTGCACAATGCCTGTTTAAGTTGAATTTAAACATTGACAAAATCCAGGGAGTGATGGCTAGAAAAGCACTGAAATTCTACATTGTAGTATTAATTCTGATTTTATCACTTTTAGTAATGCCATAGCCTCACACCAGCAGCCTTTTCAGGCCCCAGCAAAGCATGCTTCACTTTAAAGTCAGTGGGGTAAGCTTAATGGGATTTAAGCTTGTAATTATGTGTTGTGTTAAGTCAGGGCCAAAGGTACTTTTTCCACTTCAGAATTTTCTTCCAAAACTGTCACGCAACACAGAAAACCCCACACATTGTGCTCATCCTTCATTCAACTAATTTAGACACATTTTGGAGGCTGGAGGTTTGTCCTTGTGAATCTGAGTGAATAATGGCTATCACATACTTGGAAAGAACACCTTATCACCCTTTTTTTAAATACTCTTCCTGAAAGGATTAAGATAGTTATGAACTATTCCATTCTCTGGTATATATATATATATATGACTGCTTTTTCCCCCCTATCTGTATCTATGTAAAGACTCCATTAAACATTTTTCTTTCCTGTGTCAAATTTATACCATGCTGGAAACATAGGTAGGTTTACAAAATTTAGATTCTAATAATGCTTAGCACTGAGATTGTAAGTTCTCGGAAGAAGGGGCTGTCATTTTTTTGGACAGAGCATCTACTGCAGGGAGGCCCTGACCTGGTTAGCTTCTAGACAGTAACATAATATCAATTCTGGAGAGACTTTAATTGTCTTTAAATATAACTAGCTTTCAGGAGGGAGGGAAAACATTTTATGCAAAAGAGCAACAGGGCATCTCTACATGTGCCCAGTACAGTCTATACGTGCACGCCTATATTGCGCAGTAATTACAGTGGTGACTTACACTGACTTGGGCGTAATTTTGATACCTGCATCATATCAAATTTATGCCCAGTTAATTACTGCACAGTAATGCACATGGAGACGCCTTACTGCACAGTAACACTGTGCGTGTGCACTGACTTGGGACTCACTTTAGTCCCAAGTCAGACCACACACAACATTAATGTGCTTTAACGACTGTGCGTGTAGATGCCAGCCTATTTCCATTTACTGTGCAGTAACTTACTGCACAGTAAATTTAATGTGCTGTAAGTGCACGTGTTTGTCTATGACAAAACCAGCATTAGAGATCACAGTTTCTACTTGCTGCTCCTAAACTACTAGACTTTCGTACCCCTGATGTTTTCCCAAACTCATATCATTCCAAGCAACTGTTGTCATTCTTCAGCTTTCTCCTTCTATGTGGGGATGAACCCAAAAAGCCTGAACCTCGTTAGTCTGACATCACAACTGTTATAGAGAAGCTATATTCATAAGAAAAATCAGCCAGTTGGAAAACATACTTTGGGTCCAAGGATCTGGGAGTGCCAGAAACAAATTAAAGACCTCTATCAATCAAAACTGTTGGCATATGAAAATGGCATAGAAATGAACTGTTGGCAGAGAAATGTCAATCAAAGATATTTGGATGAATGTGATTAGAAAGACTGGAGTACAAGGCAAAGACAATAGGCCAAATGGAGACCCCGCATAAACAGCTGCAACTCTTACTTGTTTCCTGAAGCAGAATGTGCTTGCACCAAGTCTGGATATAGTCCATTCTCTGTAAGGTTAAATAATAAATCTATTGCACTTTTGTTCAGTTCCAAAACATCTATACTTGACAAGGATTGACTCAAAATCCATGGAATTTATTATATGTTATTCAGTGCCTGAATGATGTATGAAACTTATCAAAGTAGAAGCCCTCTTGTAATGTACAAAGTAAAATGGAAGCTCCTATTGCCCTAAAGTAGTGATTCAACCAAGGTTCTATGGCACCCTGGGGTACCTTGAGATCCTTTTGAGAGTGCCATGGGATGCCACACAATGTTAGCACTGTTAGGTGTTCAAATATGATTCACAAGATAAACCCAGAGATTTCAAAAACCTTCTGACCTTTAAGATTTTTGCACTGGAAAAACTATTGTATTATTTTTCCATAGTGGAAAAAAATGGGTGAAAACTTGAAGCTAACCTTTTCCAAAGAGTGCACTTTACACATCATACCATTTTCCACCCAAGAATTCCAAAGCACCTCACAAACATTTAAGATAGTTAATATTAACTGTTCTTTTTTAAATAGTAGAGAGGTGAAAGAGAAGACTAGAAAAGTGAATTACCCAAAGTACCAGAGCAATTCAGGGGGAAAAATACATCAACTTGCTTGAGGCTGCACCATAAAAAGGCCATCTGCTAAGTGTATCAGGAAAATCTCCCTTGCCCCAATAAGTAGTCAAGATGAAAAGGGAAATTTGGGTGGTATTTTCTTTCATCTGTGGGTATCAAAGACCAGGAATCCAAGCTGAGAGCCACCAGGGAGAGGAAAACATGCCTCTTCAATTTCTTCAAATTGAGTGAGGAAAAAATAGGATTTCCTTAAAAAGGTAAAATCAAGCTGAGTAAAGCAGAAGTACTCTACTTTTACCAAGAAAATGGTAGGCAAAGTACAGAAATATAAACAGATTTAAGGGAATTTGGAAGGGGGAGTTCACGTACCACCACACCTGAAAAAAATAAAAAGGGCCTCAACTAGCATATTCTGATCTGAATATTTTTCATGGGCTTCTTCTAGATTTATTCAGATTCTTTCATGATCTCTACTAAAGATCATAACTTTGCTGACATTAAAAATGATCAGCATTATTTGCATACTCCATTGATAGATTTGCCCAGTGAAAAATTAAATAAAATTAAGAAACTACAGGTTACATTACCAACCTAGGCAAAAGGTAAGCATTTTTTATTCGTAGTTAAAAACATGTAAACCCAAATTTCACCCCTCTTTGTTTGAGAGGTAGAAATCTCTGTTATATGAAATATTGGGGTTTCTCCACATTTTTGGGATTTACTTTGTTAACCTATAAGAGGAACCCCCTTTGAAAGGCATTATTCACTGTAGCCTATACTTAGGCACTGTGATATGCCATTGGAGATCATTTAGGTTATTTGTTGCTCTTCTCCAAACATGAAAGCATTTACCAACAGACTGGCACACTTCTGAGTAGTTGTGCTTGCGCATATGGCATTCTTTCCCCAAAAGACTGGAGTAAATCTTGCAGTACAGTGGTATTAGAGAGTTTATTAAAGGGAGTGCCAAAAGACTGGCAGGCCTATTACAGACAGTCTTCTAAGGCTACGTACAGTCAAAAAATCTGAGACTGAATTGATTCAGTCTTTGCAGTCTAGTCTAAACTGCATGGATTAAATTGAAACAAGTGAACAGACATTTACCTTTGATTCAGGAAATGCAGCCATGTGCCTGCAGAAGCTGGGGCAGAGGTGGGGGGTGCTAGAGCACAGCTCCCTAGCTGTATGTTCACTTCCTCTTCCTGCTGCCCCTGAGGTCCCTGGGATTTGCAGGCCAGAATTATAGCAGCAGGACTCTGAAGGGTTGCTCATCACTTCCTCTTCCTGATTCCAGGTGCCTCTGGGATTTTTAGACCACAGTTGCAGCCAGCAGTAAGTTTGAGAAGAGGAAGGGGTGTTTAACCCCTCTCCCTGGCCCCAGACTCTAAGGGTTTGCCTGAGTGGGAGGCAGCCCCTCCCCCCACAGACTGGGCTCCTCCCACTTGTCAGCCAACCCTCACTGCTCCAGGTCAGGAGCAGAGGGCAGGGCCAGCCTTGATCTCTGGAGCAGACAGCACAGCCCACCCCACCCCACCCCAGGGATGCAAAATGATGGGATGCTGGAGGACTTTGATTTAACTTGAACCAGGAAGGGGTCTGGGACATAAGTTGCATACACTGGTTTGACCCAAATCAGTTAAGTCTGATACTACTTTCAACCAGGTTTATCTTAAATTAGTTTCAACCATTTTGAAACTGGTTTATGTGCACTGAGCTTCTGTTCTGTTACAGGTTTAAACAAGTTTCTGATCACTTAAATCACTTTATGTGTAACTTCTGTCCCTACCCTACTTTTGTATGCAGTAATCATTCTAATCCAGCCACAGAGCAGATGCCAGAGGTAATTAGAAGTTTCTCATCAAAACAGTTTTCCTTCAGGAAATATCATTTCAATTATACCCCAAAAGTTCAATTTAATATAAAAATATTTTAAACCTTGTTTTAATGTTTGCAAAAAAGATCAAGTTTTCATTTCAAAAGTTATATTTTTATTAAAATCAAAATGAAAAGGGTTAAATTTGAAGCAGACATTTCACAAAGCATTTTGAAGTTTTGACTTTTCACCCCAATCTGCGGTAACTTTGTTTTTTTGTCTCAAAATAGTTTGCAACATGGCAAACCTGTACTCTGACCAGGTCTAGCAGAGTGTGTGTGCTGCTCCCTATTCTGGTCCCCCTCTGTGATCAGTCCATAGGGCATATAGATCTGTTACCACACACTAGACTTTTAGCTTAAACTGCAACAACTTGGTGATCCTTCTTTCAGTTCTGGAGTTTCCTACTGCAGCTTTGAGTGTGTTAACCAATACAGGCTGTCTCATTAAGATACTTATTTTCTTGCTCTCACAGGCTTGTGAATAAACTGATCTTAACTGACATACATCACTGTTTTTTTTATTAATTCACATGAAAGAATAAGGAAAGAATTGTTTTAAACATCAAAACTATTTTAAGGGGATTAAGTTTGAATTTCCCAACAAATGGGAAACTCAAACGTCATGGTGTTATGGAATTAATCCCCATGCCATATGTAAAAACAGTTATCTGAGGAACATGGAAACATAAATTAGTTCCTTGACTTCTATACTTGTTTGAGTCTTCCTGTAGGGTAAATCCAGAATGTATTTCTAACCACATCCAAATCAGCCTGCCCCATGGGATTATTCAATAAACTGTAAAAGGAGGGAAATACATTTCCCACATGTGTCAGAATCTTACTGTATTCATGCACCTAATTTGGAAACAGGCTACTAACCACAAATATACCTAAGTTATAGCACACATGCTTAATATTTAGAGAAACAGAGAGATAGGCATTAGATAAGAAGACTGGCCACCTTGGACTGAAGGAGAGGAAACCACAACCAGAAATGGTAAAACAAAGAGAGTCCAATGGATTATTTAAAAAGATCATCATACAATGATGTGATAGCATTATCTCAAATTCATAAAGATTAGATACAGAAGTCTTAACCACACTCCTCTGGAGCACGGAAAATATTTGTTAGACCAGAGCAGCACATCCTCAGAAGAGGAACATAATGAAGAAAATAATCACCATGGAAAACAGCTGCTTTTTCACCTCTGAAAATCCTTGACATCTTTTGATTAAAGTCAAGGAACTGCTCACACTCCACTTCCCAGCACTTTGGTACATTAGAGATTCAACTCTTCCAGCTAGCTTTCTTCACAACATTGTTCCTAACTCCAGAGACACAGTTCTCAGAGGTCCTACACAGTACTGTAGAATTTATTCCTTAGGAGGTATTTAAACAGAAGTATAAAAACAAAGTCTCATGTGGTCTTCCAAAGGCAACAAACAATTCCTTTCTCTCCAAGGGCAGAGACAAACCCAAAATGTAACATTATTGCTTTCTCCCAGCCCTCCCAATAATCACAGATGCCTTCCACAGATTTTTACCAACTTATTTTACAATGTTTGCTTCTCTGTGGGCATGTCTACATGTGCATTAAGGCACTTTTTCTAATATGCATTAAATTTACTACCTCTAATGTGAGGTAATAAAGAAATGTGTATTAGGCTGCAGTAATGAATGTGCACAGTTTTTAAGTGATGCTTACTGTGCAGTAGCCTATTTTACTGTGCATTAATGTAATTGCATATTTTTTTACGTGTCACTAATGCACAGTAAAATAGGCTACTGTGCATTAAAGCTCATGTGTAGACACACCCTGTGAGAAGCAATGTTGTTCTATGGGAAAATAGGAGGCACGGTCCCAGCTTCAAAATCCAACTCTGCCTCTGTCTTATTCTGTTATTTTGCAGAACAAACAGTTTCATGCTCTTGGTATATACATGGCAGAGTTAGCCTAGTGATTAAACTTAAAATTCAGTGCCACAAAAGCAGTATGTTAAGAGTTCTGCTGAAGTGGTATGATGACCCTTTCCCTATACCCACCCCTCCATCTGCCCCTTCCTCCTCTTCCCCCCATGTTTATTACTCTGTTAGTTTACTGTACTTGTAGAATGAATAGGTTGAAGAAATAGCTCATAGACAGATAAGGGTATGGAATGGGAGAGGGAGGTTATTCAAACAGCAGTGAAGTTCTATTCACTGAAACATGCACTGAAGAGACACAGTGGGTATATGCAAATACTTGAAAAGGGTCACTGATTGCTTGTTTTGTTGCTGAATGAAAAACATTTTTAAAAAAATGTTTGTGTCAAACTGAATCTGCCCTATTCACCAGATCATAAAGTATTTGGGGAAGGGCTTCTCAATCTTTCTTTATGAAGATTTTTCCACTTGGCATAAGTAATATCCATCAGTGCAGGGGCTAGACCCCAGTTCTCCTACCTCCCAGGTGGCTGTCCTTACCACAAAACAATGGAACCTAATTAAGATGTAGTGAGGCCTTGTATAAAGTAAGGCCTAGTAAATTTAGCAAAGCCTTGAAGTAATAAGGCCTTGTGGCATAGTTAAAATTACCTTATCAAAGAAATGCAAGGCTTGTACTGCTAACTGGTCAGTCTAAGGACAGTTGAAGTAAAAGGAATCTGAGTGATCGTGCGTTATCAGTATCATTCAGAAGCTTTAAATTGGCTGGAATATCTGGAAAACATTCAGAAGGAAGAGACAGCTCTGTAAAAGAATTAGTTAGCTGTTGCCTGGATCAGTGGGCCCGTGGACCTCAAAGAGCCCAAGAACTGCATCCCAGGGTCCTTTCTGTTACCCCTTTGGACAGTGTCTTTCGGGAACGCCTGACTTCGCTGAACTTTGAGGAAAAGAAGCTTGCTGTGTATCAGTCATCAGAGGGGACTGCCGATAAGTTGCCAGCACTAATTGCTTTTGTCTGTTGTTGTTTGCTTTGTTATTACGCGTAGTTGTGTTTTTGTTAAGTCAATACATCTTTCTTACCTTTCTAACCCCGACCACACTCTCAATCCCAAACCCTCCGCAGGTGGCTGGGACACCCCCCACAAGACATGGGGCTCCCCTCACATGGGCAGATGCATAGCTCCAGGGGCCAGCACTGGTTCAAGGGACTCTTCCACCTACCCCACTGAGAGTGAGGGACATCACCCTCAGCATGGTGCTCCCCATAGCTGGGCAGACCACAGCTTGGGGGGAGCCCAGAGCAGGGTGATAAAACTTCCTAAGGTGCCCCAGCTCAGGGACTGGGGCTAGGACAGGAGGGCTCTGTACCTCCACCTCTCCCCATCCCATTGCCCCACAGGGCTGACAGATGCAGGCAGGATATAGGCTGGGGAGCAGAGGCTTTGCTGCCTCAGCTCTGTGACAGCCAGGGACCAGGGCTGGGCCAACTCAATAGGAATGGAGGAGCACTGGCAGAGGCTAGCCTGCCCACCCTGCAAAGAGAGATTAGTGGGGGGCCTCCCAGCATCTGGAGATACCAGGTGGACTAGAGTCAGGAGGAAATCTGGGACAGAAGTTCAATACACTGGTCTAATCTAAACTGATTAAATCTGATACTACATCCATCCTGGTCTATCTTAAACCAGGTTCAGCCATTTTGAAACCAGTCTGTGCTCACTGAACTTCTGTTCTATTACAGGTTTAGACTGGTTTCCAATCACTTATACTGACTGATGTGTAATTTCTGTCCCTAGATTTATTTGTCTCTACCTATTAAATATGCCTACCTTATCAGAACATAAACTATTGAATCATGGACCTATAAAAGGTTATATTTGAATTAATGACTCATTAAGTACCATTATGAGCAAAGCATGCACAGGCCCATCTTTCTAGGGTCTTCATGAATACAGCGTACACTCTGAGGACAATGTATACTCTCCTAAATAGCTCCTCATTTATTCCTCCTGCAATGTCAATTACTTTTTTATTATGCAATATCAAATTTCTGCTGACAAAGAAACGGGAGGCAAATTCTGATAATCTAAAAACAAGCCAAAATAAAAGCACTAAAAATAGGTAAAAGACAAGTGGTTTTGGGATACTTACATGAGTGCCTGTTATAAATGAAGGGGCAAAAATATAGCAACTGTTGCAAACAGGCAGAGATTGTATTCTAAGGACAGATAGTCCTAATTTGATTGAACCCAGTTTATTAACCTGGAAAATATACTGTATTCCCTGGGAAAACTGTAATTTCTCTTTTTATTTTGCTGACTC